AGCCACTCTTGACCCCAGGGCTCCAAAACGCCACTGGCAGCCCCAACCCACAGCAGTGTTGAACCCCGTGTCGGGGTGCATGTGGCACCCCTGCACCCCCCCGCAGCAGTCTGACGCCTGCCTTGTTCCCAGCGCTTTCAGTTCCCCAAACGGGACGAGGACGCTCCGAACAGCTCTGGCACGGCAGCGGCAGTACGTAGGAAGGGTCCCGGCACGGCGGTGTTGGTCCAGCCCCAAGGGGAGCCCCCCCCCAGATGTGGCACCCGCACTTGCTGCATGGTGCAGGTTTATTCCTCCTCGAGAGGTGTCGACCACAACCCGCAGCTATTTCTCATGCTCCTTACTGCCTCCTTTAAAGCAGGAAATTAAATAAAAGGGGGAATTTTGCTGACCTGCACTGTGCTTGGGGACAAACTGTCAGCTCTTTGGATCAGGAGTTCATTCCCTGTCATTGAAGACATATTGCATTGCTTCCTCTTACAAAATACCTGTGTTGCCGTAAGGGCAGTAAAAACCGATCCCAGTGACGGTGTCACCGAAGGAGGGCTCAGCTCAGCTCAGCTCAGGCTCCCCAAAGCCAGACCCTTTGCACCAGCCACAGGTTGCAGCCAATGCTTCGGGAAGCCTCCCTGGGGAGGAGGGACGGGGTCTGCGGGGCTGGCGAGTGTTGGGAGAAACCACTGCTGCTGCTCAGACAGACCTTTCTGGTGTTTTGATTTCAAGCCCGGTGGGCAGGAACAGAAATTGCACCAAGCACCTGCGCAGGAGGCAGCCGGCAGAGCTCGGCCCGCCGGGGAATTTCCCAACCAGCTGCAATTTCTATTTCAGCCCCCAGCCCCGGCGTCTGCCCCTCACCTGGCAAGTGTGGGATGATCCGGTTCTCTATGTTGATGTCTCCGGATTCAATGGGGAACATCTCCTTCAGCGCTTTCTGTGGAGCAGAGCCAGGCATGGCTGTGAGGATGGCACTGCAGGACCCCCCGTGGCACCCGCGCCCCTGCCTGCGTTTTGCCCCCCTTCCCGGCGCTCGCCCCGCTGCCTGCTGGCACGTGCTGGCTGGACCCCACGCCTCAACACTGGGAGAAGCCTGCCGGGGGAGCACAGAGACGGAGGCTCCCCACTTCAAGGGGCGAAGAAGGTTTGAAGCACAGGGACCCGGGAGCCTCTTTTGAGCCAGGTTTGTTTTGGGGCAATTTCAGCTGCAATTAGCCCCCCTCTTTTTCCCCACCCCAAGCCCTGGTGCGCTGGGCCGGGGGCCGGTGCCCGCACCGGGACGACTCACGTGGAACTCGTATATCTCGGTAAACCGGCGGTAGACGAGCTTTTCAGAGAGGTCGTTCCACTTCACCAGGAACATGTAGACCTGAGGGGCAAAGCAGAGGTGCTGCAGCTCTGCGGGCGAGCAGGACCCCGTACCCCGCTGCGGCCAAAGACCCCAGGGAGCCTCATGGATGTTTCCATTTCGGATAAACTGCGTGTTTTTCTTCCACCACCCCAATGCGAGTAGCTCTGCCCAGGCAGCGAGCGAGTTGGGCGCTAGGGAAGCTCGGCAGGGACAGAGAGGGGACAGAAATGTGCAGACGGGTGGGAATCAAAGAGGGAAAAGCCCTTTCCAAGCCTGCAAAGTAACCAACGGCTTGCAGAGGAGGTGCCCAAAATCTTGTGCGTTCAGGACATTTTAGCCTCTGGCTGCCTCCAGCTCATGCTAGCCACCATGACCCCCTGAAAAAAGGATGCTCTTAGGCCCTCAATCGCATTTATCTGAAGAAATATGCTGTCCAGGCTTTTTACCCCCCCCCCAGTCCTCGCTACTCAACTTCTCAGGAGGTCGCTGCATACTCACATAGTGCTGGCTGGGGAAAAACCTTTTCTCGTAGCCCAGCAGCTCGATGTGCCGGATGAAGGCATCCCCCATAGCTGCTCCCAGCCGCGGCGTCCCGCTCCGGCCCCTGCCCCTGCCTCCCCGGGCGTCTCGGCGTCCTCTCCTCCCCTCCGCCTTCGCACAGCTCTGCTTTGCCGTTAAAGCCCCCAGGAAAGCGGAAGTCCCGCTGCCATCTTGCCCTTCATTGTTTACCCACTGTGGTTTGTATTG